ATCAACCAGACAAATGAAACCTATATGCTAAAATGTTGTACTATACTGATATTAATGTGTTACTGAGGGGGGAAAAAAAAACCTAAATACAAGTTTATATATGCAAGTGTGTGTGTGTGTGTGTGTATAATATGAAATGACATAGTTCAATATATTTATGGAGGCAATTAAGACAGATTAATCCATTTACGCACCATGTAATTATTAGCTTTGATAGGAGTACTACTCCAAACCGAAATTGTATGAAAATTAAAGTTGGAAACATGGGATGAATTCACATAACACATACCAATGAAATTAATAAATTAAATTACCTATATATGTATCTTACGTACAGTCACTGGATAATAATAATAATAATAATTAAAAAGAAGAAGAAGAAGAAGTTGTATGTTGAAGTTGAAGGGAATGTCGTCGCAGAAAAATGGCACCTGCTGAAGCTAGGCATGCACACGACAGCGGTGCCATTTCTCCTGCGACGGGACTCCCCCAACTCCCTGTTTTACTTGTCCATGGCGGGCCTTGCATTTGTATACATGCATTGTATGACCATATTTATAGGCCAAAAAAGCTAGACCTCTCTCTCTAGAGTGTCAAGTTTTTCCACAATGAAGCGACTCATGAGTCATGTCCTTGTGGAATACATATATATATATATATATATATATACATATATATATATATATATATCACAGGTATTCAACGAAAGTATATATAATACTTGAAAAGCTACTAGCTAGTCATATTCAAAAATGTGGAATGGAAGTAAACCCTTTCATAATATATTTAGAAAAGACCCTAATTCGGAAGCAATATATATATATTGTTCCCGGCCTAGATGAATTAATATGAAGACCAGAATTGAAGTGGTTATTAAGAGAATGAGACTACTCTAGCTAGCTCAAAGTCACCTTCAATTACTAAACCTTACTCACGATCCTTCTTAACAATTTCGTCATCATTCTCTCATTGGTTACAACTAATTATAATTAAAACTTTGATCAAAATAAAGAACATGAAATATAGCCCTAATTTACTTAATTTGTTAAACCTAATTAAGAGGCTTTATACACTATTTCAAGGGTTTGTTTAGTTATGAAGGATGCAATTATTTACTCTTCCCATTTCTAAATTAATATATACAGTGACCTTTTTGGTTTTACGAGCTCTGTTATATTAGTAATATAAATAAATAATGATACGAAAGTTAAATGTATTTGCCTATTTTATATGAGTGGGATGATGACATCTTTATTTGTTGCTGCTTATTTCAAAAATCTATTACTAATATATATTTTTAATCTCAGGATTAGTGTTCAAATTACATGCATTAATTATGCAGCTTCCTACCTAACACGTTTAGAGTCCTGAAAAGGGACAAATTGATAACGGGTAGGTAGCATGTATGTGGTGTTTTTCGTCGGATCATAAACAAACCTAATTAAGGACCGACTTTGTATATGACAATTAAGTTGGTCCTTTCTCTCATTCTCTTGAATATAGGCAACATCTTTCAAAGAAAATGTTAATTTCAAGTACGTAAACCAAGACTAGAAGAAGATTCATACAATGTGAATGGTCGACGCTAGCTGTACAACAATTATGTTGAACATGCACCTTAGCCGCCTTTTGTAATTTTCTGCGCACCCACGCCACCTCGTCTCTCTCAATTGGAATTTAACTCTAGCTTCGTGGATACTCTCCAAACTCTTTTCTTTTTTCTTTCTTTCATAGAAATTTAAGCAAGTTGTAAGAATGTAAGGTAACTACACTGACGGCCTCTTACCATATGTGATAGGTGGCAAATTGCAATACGATTCGTCAGCACAATTGGAACACGACAAAAGATAAACGGGTTTGGATTGATTTTAAATAATTTGAGTCATAAACGAGTTGATATAATTAACTATCGGGTTAAAATTGAGGAGTTCAATCCATGTAACATGTTTAACTCAATATTTTATAATCGTAAATATGACATATATATTATATTACCTTTTTAAACCCAATTATTATGAACAGTTAAGTCATTTCAACATTAACCTTGATTATGCCTTATGATTTTTCTTCCTATTTTGAATATTTGGGTTAATTGTGACAAATTTTTTCTAATATTTATTATTTAATTAAATATTAATTTCTCATTTTGATAAACAGGTCATTAAATAGGGTTAAACCCATTTAATATATAGGTAGGGTTAGTGTAACTGTTAAGAGTTTCTGACACGATTATTAAATGGGTCGGGTTTGAGTTTACCTATTTAATAGAATATCCTTACAATCGATACGACACGATTATAACCCACGAATATCAATTGCCACCCCTAGACACATACCGCGACAAACATGAGATTGATGTTTTGAATTCGAGATTGAAATTTCAAACCGCAAATTTCCTACTCTCAAACATGACATTAGTGAATTTTAAAAGAGATGATCACCAAATTATATTTGTGCAGGGTAAACACTTTTGGAAGTTATTTATTTATTTTTTGGAAGTTAAAAAAAAAATGTTTGAAGATAAAATATATATATATGTTTTTTTCCGGAAGATTAAGCAATATATAAATAGTGGAAGAAAATTATATTGGGCCATAATAAGTGGAATGTGCTCAAAAGCCGAACAAAATGCCCAAACAGGCCCACCCAAAGCATATAAAGAAGACATTGATCCATCAGGGCCTATATAAGCAAGAATACAGACTTGCAGGCCCAAAGGCAACAATACACATGGAGAGGGCATCAGTCCATCATCCGGCGGTTAAAAAAGTAAACTCCGTATTATTTCACTTTGATGCATGTGTTGGTTGTATTGCTTTAAATTAAAAAATGAATATGTTGAATCACAAGCCCGATCCAGCACAATCCATCCACTGGCCCATTAAATGTTCAAGATTGTGATCGGTCTCTTAATGGGCTGTGGCCCACATCGTGTGCAGAACAACAAAGAATCAAGGGTGAAATTCAACGGTGATGATTCATGCTTTTTCACATTCCTCACTCACCGGGATTAGAATTCTTTAAATTAAAATATCTCTATATTATTTTAAGTTAAATTGTTATGATGTTAACATGTGTTATTTCACTTAAATATATTGCTCACAACGCTCCACATCATTTAGTAATAAAAAAAATGCTTGAAATTATAATATTTTAAAAAACAAAAGCACATTTAAAAAAAAAAAAAAAAATCCACTATTTAAAAAGAAACCTCTTTCTTATCAAAAATTGTAGAGCCAAAAAAAAAAAAAAAACTCATTTACCAAAAATTCTGCCGCCAACAAAATAAAATAAAAACGTATCATTTGTTTATAAAGTTCCCATATGATTCATGGACTAGGATATCATTGTTTTTTTTTTTTTGGCTCTACAATTTTTGGTAAGGAATAGGTTTCTTTTAAAATCGTGGATTTTTTTTTTTTAATAAAAAATTTGATTTTTTTTTTTTTAAATGTGTTTTTCTTTCCCAAAATATTGTCATTTCAAACTTTTTTTACTACTAAATTATGTAGAGCATTGATAGCCCTAGATTTAGGTAAAATGACACATGTTAAAATCATAACAATTCAATTTAGGATAATATAGAAAAATTTTAACTTAAAGGATCCTAATCCTTCCCTAAAAATGCTACCCCCAGATTGGATACACATGAATAAATAAATAAATACAATGTAACAATAATTTTTATTTATATTTAAATAAATTATAAGAGAAAAAAAATATTATTAATTTTCTTTTCTCTTTATCCAAAATTTTTCCTCACTGTCATTTCATTTCTTTTCTGTCCTAATCTTTCCAAATCACTCCATGGAAGATGAGGCCTACATGATCTCTCCTTCTCTAAATCATTTTCCCCTCTTTCAAATTTTAGGGCTTAATTCGATTGTCTATATTCAAAATTTTGGGTCTCGTGTGAACATTTCCGTAGAGTTGTTGATCAAAGTGCTTGAGATTGCTTTAATCACTCCAATAGCACTAAAGCTGATGAATCCCTACGGTTTGTGCCCTTGTTTGAGCTTTGAACTTAGAAAAATAATGTATATTTCTCTTTTATAATCTTTTCATTTGCTGCTTCTAATTGTTTGATTGATCCAATTGAACCCTGTTTTCTTTATTGAACTTAGTTTTGGAGGCAATATTGTTCCTTTTTTTATGCTCGTATATATGTGATTGTTTGTGCGGCCTGTTTGTTCATGTGTGTGTATATATATGTATTTGTGTGCGCTTGTATATCATTGTATATTTTTGTTGCTGAAGGCATGCAACTATGCTTATGAACTAAAATATACGCGCTGTACCTAAACGGTTACATGTTCGAGTGTCAAAATGGCGTCATTTTACATGATTCGTCGAGCTCATCTGGAGCGAATTAATCAAAAATAAAATTATTAATTATCAAGAAAAATAGTTCAATAACTATATTGGGGAAATGGAGGGAATCAATCATTCTCGTAAAGAAAGGTTGGCAAGAAGAGGTCAACATAGAAGGGTTGGTGAAGGGCTATAATTGAGTATACAGGTTTTTTCAAGTTTTTCAAAGCGCACAATGAAAAAATTAATAAACAAACATTTGTATGCTGATGTGAAGCCGATGAAAAGTTGAGAAAGAGGTTTTATTCGACTGACTATCAAATGTAAAGTTTCATAATTTGTGGATGACATTTTTTACACTGTTTTAATGTTTTAAAATTAAAGGGAATAGCAGTTTTCTAATCATCATTTTATGAATGTTTCAATTTCATTAGAGGGCTCTTTGATACCATGATAAATTGCTCACTTTTTTTCTTTTTTTCTTTTCCTGAGCATGAATTCATTCAACTCGAAAAGAAATAATGTACTAGGCAAAAAGGAGTACATACCCTTCTTTTTTTTTTTTAGGGTATACACTTTTTCTAGGGTCATCATTAACATATTTTAAGGACATCACCTTCCAGTAGTTGTTTTAAAAAAAATTATTGTTACCACACATTCAAGTTTAGACTTGTGCCTGCTAAGTTAGTTAAGGAAAACAAGGTGTAGAAAAAATATTCTTTTGATTTTTTGTTTCTTATTGCTACCACAAATTCAAGTTTATACTTGTGCCTGCTAAGTTAGCTTAGGAAAAACAAGCTGTGGAAGACATCCGAATTAAATTAAGTTTGCCGCTGAGTATTCTGACGTTTTATGTCCCCAGACATGTAGCAAAATTATCATTCATTCGTTAGGCAATACCTGCAAGTAGCAAGCAAGGTGTTGAAGTGCTCAACCTAGACACAGATAATTGAATTTCTCCTGCATTTTTTTAAAGTTTATGCCACACTAAACTTAAACATAATAATAATTAATAACATTCAATAAATTCTTCTTGCCATAAAGAAAACGAAAACCTTACCTGTTGTTGTCAAGTCCTCAATCTTGTAATCTTAGATGATACAACCCTCAGCACTCGTTTCACCTTCGTTCAACTAGGAGAGTCATCTGTTGTGGTGTCTGCTTTAGCTGATGACTTGTCCTCTTTCGCTTCTATAGTTGATGGTTTCTTTGTTCTGCCTTCTTCTTCAGCTGATGTTTCCTTCTCTCCCTCTTTCACTTCTTTTGCTGACGATGATTTTTTCTTTTCTGATTCTTCCTCAGCCTTGAGCCTTGCTTCTTCTTTTGCCTTGTGAAGAGCTCTGATCAGAATCTCCAAACAAGTTGTAGCATCCCCCGGAATAGTCTTGGGCATTAAATTTTCCGCAACATCTGCAGGCGTCATATTGATTTTCTCCAACAACACATGAATTTGCACAAACAAATCGTGTGATTCGACATTAAGATAATTTTTTGCAAGCATCTTGAAAGCTTCAAAGCTACAATATGACAATTCAATGTGCTTATCCATTCGTCCTCTCCTAATAAGTGCTGGATCCAATTTTTCAACATAATTGGTTGTAAAGACAATGAGTCTTTCTCCCCCACAAGCGGACCAAAGCCCATCAATAAAATTTAGAAGACCAGAAAGAGTAACGTTACTGGTTTTGGTATCTTTCTCTTCTTTAGCTAGCTTCTTCCCTGGATCTTTCTCTTCATCTTCGTCTTCCTCTTTCTCCTTTTTCTTCTTCTTTCGTTGTCCGGTAAGATCCGCTGAACAATCAATGTCCTCAATCACAATGATTGACTTGCTTGATGTCTCTATCAAGAGTCTCCTAAGCTCAATGTTATCTTTCACAGCTGTTAATTCAAGATCGTACAGATCATAACCCAAAAGATTTGCCATGGCAGCAATCAAAGTGGACTTGCCAGTACCTGGAGGACCATAAAGAAGATACCCACGCTTCCAAGCCCTCCCAATTCGCTTGTAGAACTCTTCTGTCTTACTGAAAGTGATCAAGTCATCTATAATATCTTTTTTCTTATCTGGCTCCATGGCTAGTGTCTCAAATGTTGCGGGATGCTCAAAAACCACATGACTCCAATAAGATCCATAGTTGGTGTAAAGCTTCCTTTGCCGGTTTCTGACCTTAATTTCCTTACCCTCTGTGAGTACATGATTGAGGTATGTGGTGAGGACGAAATTGCGGTGCTTTTTGTGGAAAGTGAGCTTGTAGTGGCGCTTTTCATCATTAACTGGGTAGTAAGAAATGGAGGGATGAGATTTGGTGATATGTTTACCAGAAGCCCACCAAAATTTGACTCCTTGGAACTCATCAGCTACCTCCTCGTGGTCGTCCATGCTCAAAGCTAGAGACGTGCTGTTCTTGACGACATCAGCCTTGAGCCGCTTTGCTTGCATAGATGTATTGGAGCTAAGGTAGTTCTCAATGGCTAAATAAGCTTCACTGCGCATGAAACGCTCTCCGGTGTTTTCATTGAATTTGATTTGGATATAAGGGTAAAAGAAAGTGAACAATCTTTGAGAGTATTTCTCAAGAGAGTTTCGAAGTTCAGGAGGGAAGTATTGCCGAAAAATTGCCCACACGAACATGAAACTGGCGATTACAGATCCTACATGCGTGAACATGTCACTGGTCGTCATGCTGTTTGATCTATTTCTTCACCTCCTCTTTCTTGTACACCTACCTATATCAGTGTTCTTATACTAGTACAAGGATGAGCGTTTCTTTCCAAGACATTCATTCATTGGTTTGGTTGAATCCTACTCTGTTTTCGAGTGAATGGTAGATTCGTGTTTGGCTCTTTGCTGGGCCGGCCACAAGGTCGGTAAAAGGTGAGCTGCACCAATTTGTCTTCTTCTTATATTACATAGGGGAATCTTTCTTCTCCTTTTTTTTTTTTTTTTGTTTCAGAAGCGAAAGTATTATATAGGGGAATCAGACTATTACAAATTGTCGTATCTGACAGTAACCAATTGATGTCGTTGTCCTTCCCTCCAACGTCTTGAAGTTGCTTTATTAATTTTACTAATATCCCTTTAATTTGGCCAAATATCATTTTAACTTTTGAAAAAAATTACTATCAAGGTCGAAAATGATTTTCCATTCATCCGTTAAAAAAGTACGAAAAGACAAATTTATTCTTAATTTTTTAGTACTCTTTATTTCAAAGCATTACGGAGTAACAATTTAAAACGAGTATTTTACACTCATTCATTCCTATAACCTACCCACTCCCCTCTCTCACGCATGCTACAAATCATTTGGAATTATTAGGCATTGTTTTGTGTATAACATGGATATTGCTTATTATTAGGCATTGTTTTGTATATAACATGGATATTGCTTTTTCATGGACTGTGCAGGTGAACTGTTAGGTGGATGCTATCATGTCGCCACGAACATATAATTATTATGTCTAATTAAAGTTGAAGAAAAAGTACCACCAAAAAAATAAAGTTTAATTAGAGCTCCTTCCACTTATTGTGGAACAATTAATATACTGAAACGGAGGCCCAAAGAAGTTGTGAAATGAATGGAGTTCAAAGTAACTTGGAAAAGAGCAAGGAATGTGAGAACACCTGTTCCATTTTTCAAGCTATTCTCATTTGCAAAATCAAGCTGATGTTAATGTTGATGATTATTGCTTGTACTGCCACAGTTACCATTGTGAATGGGTTATCTAGTTTCCCCCATCACTCTACTCTCTTTTCTCCTACGTTCTAATTCCATGTGTATATATATATATATATATAATCACTTCACCCATTTTTTATAATTACGTTTTTATATATATTAATGTGTGTGTTATATACATATCATAATTCTCCACCTATTTTCACTCCCATTTATGTATATGTGTATGTATATGTATACAAACCCAAAATATTTGCAGCTCTCTCTTGTAGTCCATGTTCATTGTTTTTCTTTGCATTCAATTTCTTGTGGTTGATATATGCGTGTAACTGTTTGTATACATGTGTGACTGGTGGCGGCGGTAGCCATGGTAACGATGGTGAAAGAGGTGATTAACGTCTTCTCTCTACGGACTCAATAAATTTGCCGTGTTTCAATAAGTTCGTTCTATTGATGTTTTTCATGCCATTTTTTTCTTTTGTTTGCCTTGATCTACTCGGGCTTTGCTTTTGTTCGGGTAGATCTTCTCGATTTTGACTTGATCTGTTCATGTTTTGATTGTTTCAGGCTAATATGGGTGAATTTACTATTTTATCTCTGGCTAAATTTTTGATCTACGTCAGTTTTATTTTTCCCCGACTCCGATAGGATATTTTCTTCTTGATTTGATCTTGTGCGGGTTTTGGGTGGTTTACTCCCAGTTGACAGTGCCTTATGGATGTAACTTTGGAACTGTTATCTTGATAATAGCCAGACCTTTGGGTTACTTCGCTTCTCCCTTGATGGTTTCCATTGTAGAGTTTTGGCTCTCTTTCTTAACAAATCTGGAACCGTTCAATATTTTTTCTTGTATTGTCTTTTATTTTTATCTTTTTCTTTTTCTTTTTCTTTTTTTTACTTGGCTTTTGCCCATGTACAGCCACGATGACTTGGGTTTTGTGCCTTTGTAGTGAAAAAAAAATATATAAAAAATAAGGCAACTTTAGTAAAACTTTCAACATATTCCGCAAATTTTATTTCAATTTGCATTCTCTATTCCAATTAAAACCCATGCTATCCTTTTTGCACAAGTGAAATTTCTCTTTCTGCTTGATCTTGGCGGCCTTGTGGGCCTGATTTGTAGGTCCTCCTCTTTTGTCAAACTAAAATAAAATAAAATGAAATTGCAAATCACTTCTATAATTAGGATCCCTAGCTAATAATATATGAAAAAAGCAACTTTTGTACCAATAGGCAGCAAAGTAGCAGACCCATAAACTTTAATGTATAGCATTGTTTTTGCTTAAAAGTTCATACTAATAGTCAAATTACTATCAAAAAGTTGCAAAATTCACTTCTTCTGTTTTTTTTTTTTTTTTTTTTGGCTGTCGGATGGGAGTAATTTGCAACTTTAGTAAATTAAGGGGCGTTTGTTGCTTAAAAAAAACAGTAGATTGGTTGGCCAACAATTATAAATAAATTCAAAACCAAGTTTTTTGTTTTACGAGTTTGAAACAAAACTTTATTCCAATTTATCCCTCCTAATCCGAATCAAATTGAAACATATTGTTTCCCACCAAAAAGCTCTAAACTGGATTCTTCCATTATTTAAATCCAAATGCAAAAAATTTAATTGAAATTGTGAAATGAGTATCATCAACAAAATTAGAATAATAAAGAAATTATTAATTAAATGATTGAAAGTCGATTTATTTTTAGACTCAAGATTATTTGAAAGGGACAAGTTGACGGAGTATGAATGTGCAGGGGCGGAGCTCCCCTAAAAATTTGTATTACTATCCTCTAAATATTAATTAACTTATAAATATAACCCCTAAAAATTATTAAAATTTTCAATTGGACCTCCAATTTTTTCAAAACAATTACATCAAAACAATTACATATACACCCAAAATAGAGAGTTTGAAAATTAGCCACAAAATAGAGAATTCGAAAATAAATTTTGTATTCGTCTTCTTGAAATTTTAAACAAGTTCTATTTAAACCCTTTTAACTATACTTTTAAAAGCTCTAATATTGTGAAGAAACTCATTATTATTATAATTGTTATTGTAACACATTGTTAATTTATTTACATATACACGTGTACAATATCTATAATATTAATTCAAGAAAAAAAAAAAAAAGGAAAGGATAAAAATCATTAATGTTCCATCATGTTTAATAAAAAAGCTTCAAGCATTTTTTGTCAAACATTTTTGTACAATGATATCTACAAGAAAAATATTTAGAATTATATAACAATCTTTATTACATCTTGAAATTAAAATTATTTTATTTAGTTAAAATTCATTATTATTATTTTAATATTTCATCTAGGTATATCTTTCCCTAGTGAAATCAAAGCACTCGAAAATTTTCTTCCAAAAACAAGATTTTGAAAAACTGAAACAATTGATGAAGAAAATTTAATTCTCTGACAATACTTATTTCTATACATCTTCTCTTTTAAATTGTACTTCATTATTTTTTCTCTATATTTTTCTTTCTACTTTCAAATTTTTCGTCTATTATTAAGTTTTATTTTTCTCAAAGTATATACACTACAACTAGTATCTATAAAAAATCATATTACAAATTCAAACTTTAGTCACATAGTACAAATTCAGCCCCTCAACCCTGTGCATGTCACATGTGTGTGTGTGTGTGTGTGTGTTTAACACTGACTATAAAGTCAACAACCTAAATACCTAATTAAGAGTGTCTCCAATACTCTCCCAGATGTCTTCTGAGGCTCAAAATATAGGAGATTTTGTTTTCTGATACATTCAAATGGTGTGCTATACAGCCTCTCAAAATATGAGATTATCAAAACTTTTCTCATATATAGCAGGTTGCTATAAGTTGAGAACATGAGATGCTAAGGGCCCGTTTGGGAAGTGTAGTGTGATGTAGTGTACTGCTCTAGTCTAAAACAGAACAAGTGTTTTGTAGTGTGATGTTCTGAAATGAGAACAAAACATGTTTGGTGTTCCAAATTTGCTTTGAGAATATTAACAAAAATATGGTAAAACATGTTTGGTAATGTATATTGTTTTAAGAAATATGAGAACAAAACATGTTTGGAAGACTGAAAGTGTAACTAAAATCAGTAGAAAAATAAAATAATTAAATATGTTGGATTAAGAATGTTTTTAAATAATGTTTTCTTAAATACATTTTTTCTAACTTATTAAGTATAAAGTTAAATTAAATGATTGTATAATTTTAATATACAATTGATATAACTTTTAATATATATATATATGTGTATGTATATATATATATATATATATACATATCTATTGTTCCTCCATTTATCTTAGTTGATTATAAAAACCATTAAAATAAATTATAAATTGCAAAACCTATTAATGTTGCATCTTATTTTGACAGTTGTCCCATACATTATTTCAATATGGAATTGAAATAAGAAATTAAAAATATATTATACATTTCATGAATTTTAATATATTACATACATGAGTTTCAAAAATATCTCCGCATTCGTCAACAGTCACAATAAAAGTTCATGAAATAAATTTAAACTAATATATTACATCATTTCTCAACAGTCACAATAATCAACAACAACAACATGAGCAAAAACAACAAAAATATAGTTATAGTAAAACAACAACAACATCTATAGATAATGTAGTTTTGCCGATTTTGTTGAGCTTGCATAATAGCAACTACATCCTCCAACTCTTCCTGCACATGACCACCCACTTGCAGACGTTGATGCATGTCATCCAACCATATAAAGCACGATCATGTGACTAAATTTCAACAAAGAGTTGTACATTATTAGAATGCACCTGTAACACTTATATGTAGTTAAAATATTCGTATTCATGCAAAGAAAATTGTATACCTCCCAAGCTGAACATCTATAGAATGAACGTCCATAATTCTTAAAAGTTCCAGCCGTATAAAGATTCATTCGACCCTTTCCACATGCACAAGGTGGCCCGTCACCCTGTATCTTATACATGACTGCATATACAATTTATTAAACTTATCCAAAGAAGTTAATAAAAAATATAAAGAGAATCATTTATCGAAATCGGCAATTAATGTCAAAATAAAATAGTTATTACAGTTATTCAAATCCTAAGAAATAATTAAAATAAAGTAGTTGTTACAGTTATTCAAATACTAACAAATGGAACAAATATAAAGTAATTATTACAGTTATCCAAACATGGTAGACATGTAAATCCTATTTCAAGGGTGATGACTT